AAGAGAACGAAATATCTGTATGCGCCCCCCCCCCCCCATACAGGGGACAGCATATGGGCCCCAAACATCAGTATGGATCAAATGGAAAGCAACATTACTTCTTTTACTGCATGCAGAATGTGTTTCTACATTGTTTGGATAAATGACAAACTTCACATTCAAAATTCAATTTGGACAAAGAATCAAACAAGTTTGGAAACAAAAACTTGACAGACATATGACCAAGGCGATAACACCATAATTTCAAAAGATTCATTTTCTCATTGGAACAAAATGGTCTTTCCTGTAACTCTATGTTTTTGAATAAATACAAGTGGGTCAGCTAGGGGAGTATGATTTTGACTCTCTTCTAGTCTGGCCGAACCTTTCTTTCTTCTTCTTCTTCTTCTTCTTCTTCTTCTTCTTCTTCTTCTTCTTCTTCTTCTTTCTCTTTTCTTTCTTCTTCTCTACTTCAACCTAGAATCTGCTAGAGTTTACTAACAACCCTGACCCGAGATTGGGGTCTGAGATCCATCAGCAATAGTAATCTTGCCCTTCCCCGGGGTTAACTTATATGAGGTAAAATGTAAAGGCATATCAGTCATATGTGGGCATTGGCCCCAAAATCTACAATCCATGGGCTAAAGGAGGTGGAACAAGCAAGTGCAGTATCTGTCTTGGCATATGAACTAGATAGATTACTAAGTCCAGAACCAGATGAGGAGGATGCACCACCCTTCTCTAGCTGCAACAATATATTTCTGAGTTTGTCCATCACATCAGAGGAGTCATGCACATCCGAGGGCTGAACATCATTACCAAGTGTAGCCAAGTGAGCATTGCCCTTCTTCCCAGTTTTGTACTTCTCTGGTTTTAGATGAGGATTTAGCTTCCAACACCTTTCTTTAGTGGGTCTTGGCTTCTTGCAGTACTCACAAATAACATCCTCGACCTTCTCTGCAATGGGATGTTTGCTAGTATTTTGCTTGGATCGAGATGACATAAAGCCAGAATGATCACTCACAGAGGATTGTATCATGGCGGTTCTTCGGCTTTCTTCCCCTTGTACAAGAAAATAAGCAGTAGCAAGAAAAACAACGCCGGCACTAAGAATGTGTTGCCTGGTGAAATCAAACTATGGGTTTAAGCCAGCCAAAAAATCAAAGACTCTATTCTCCTCTATGTACTTCCTATATTGCTCACAATCTTTAGGGTCCTTCCAAACTAGAGCTTTCAACTAATCCATTTCTTCCCAGATAGACTGTAGAGAAGAGAAATACATAGCAACAAATCTCTCCCCCTAACGCGTACTGCAAGCTTCCCTCCGAAGCTGATACACTCTAGCAGTATTGTTAACTTGGGAACAAGTAGCAACTACCCTATCCCAAATATCCCTGGCAGATGAAAGAAGCATGTAATTCCGGGCAATATGAGGTTGCATTGAGCAAATCGGCCATGACATAACAAGGGAGTTGTCATGTTCCCACCTTGCAAATTTCAGGTCTTCAGGACTCGGCTTCACTTCCCTTCTTGTGATTCATAACAAGTTTAGCAGACTGAGACCACTCTAAAAATTCAGTTCCATCCAGTTTAACAGTAGTTATCATACCATTGGAGATATCTACAGTTCCCGGGAGAAAGTCGGGAACTATCTGAAAATCCTTAGATGATTCCATATTCTAACAAGACACCTTTTCACCAACCAAAAAGGACCCCCAACACTTTAACCGAGGTTCCTGACCCAAAAACAAGGTTACCCCACGGTTAAGAACCGAAGGAAGACCCAAAAAACTAGGTTGGCAGCAAAATAGAGGGAGAAAAAAATCTCCCAAAAATCACATAGTGCTCAGAAAATTACGGGACCACTTTCCGTCAATCCCAAATTGAAAAACGACCTGAATGGTCTAGGTTTTACAGCAAAAAAAAAAAATCATTAAACCCGTTGTACATGGCTCGACATCAAATATGGAATTTCTACCATTTTTTCCTTGAAAAATCCAACAAAAATCATAGAAGCTTCATATAATGACAAGAGTCGTACCATAATTTTTCTAAAATCAGGGCGAATCAAATTGTGCTGGCTTCATAGATTGCTGCCGACACCTGTACGGGCTGCTGACGTCATCCAGCGGCGGTCTGACGTCAGCAATTCGCCTCTAGGTAGGAGATCAGCAGAAAACTAACTCCCAAATGCTTCTACCTGCTCTGATACCAAGTTGCAGAAGCTAGGGTTTCAAGAGAGAGAAAGAAAGAAGAGAATAGAAGAAAAGGAAGAAGAAACCAATGTGTCGAGAGAGGTGTGTGTGTTGTTCACTGTTCACACCCTCAAAAGTTCACTTTATACTTGAAAAAATAATAATTACAAGAAGGCCCCTATCTGGGTGCCCAAATACTGAGAGAATGTAAGAAAGGAGAAAAAGACCAAAAACACCCCTGTCTAACTATTCTCAACAGGTGACTGGTGTGGAACAGAAAAACAGGGAAGAGATTAAGATAATAAAGAGAGAAAGTTTGAGTAGAATGAGAGAAAAAGTAAGAGAGGGAAGGAAAAGGAGGGAGAGTTGGGGAAAAAAAAAGTGGTGGGAGAAGAGAGAGGACAATGAGAGAAGAAAAGAACTACTATTAAGGTTCTATTGCTGAAAACAAAATTGGGGAAGAAGGAGAAAAGAGAAAGAAAGAAAAGATACTGAGAGAGAGAGAGTGACGGAGACAGTTGTAAGGTACGGTTGCAGATTGGAGAGAAGAGAGAACGAAGAGTTAGGAGGAGGAGGAGGAGGAGAAGAAATACAAAGGAGGAGAATAGTGGCTGACCTTTGTTCAGTCAGTGGATAGAGACAAAGATGGGAGATGGATGAGATGCAGCTGCTTTGGATCAATAACTGAATTGGGCAGAGGTGTTGGACTGAGCCTTTACTCTGATAACAAACTGATGCAGCACCACCTGTTGGAACAAAAGAGGAAGAAGAGAAGCAGCAAAGGACAGAGAAGACAAGTCGAAGAAGAGAAGAATTTAAACTTATTTCACATTTCTCTTTAGCTGACTTGTGGAGAAACTGGTGAGTGGATGCAAACTCCTCTTCTGCTAAGAACAAACTGGTAGTTGCTTGGAAGGCTCCTGTAGAAGGCTTCATCAAGCTAAACTTTGATAGTAGCAGCCTTGGCAATCCCAGGCCTTCTGGCATTGGAGGTGTGTTTAGGAATGCGGAGGGTCAGGGTGTCGCCTTGTTTTCAGACCCGATCGGAATGGGTGATGTGGTTAATGCAGAAGTCCAAGTGGTTTTCCAAGGGGCACAACTGGCAAAAGATTTAAACTTTACAAATTTGGTCGTTGAAGGAGACTCTAAACTGGGTAATTCGGTGGCTGAAAGAACCGGAGACTGTAGTATGGTCATATAGGGGGGTGATGAGAAGATTTAGGTGGCTAACCTCTAATTTAACAGTTACAGTTCAATGGGAAAGGAGATCAGCTAATGGGTTGGCAGATCTTTTAGCCAAGCAAGGGGTGCATAGGGATCATTTATTCTGGGTCAGTTGCAATTTTGCTTTGTTTCTGAGGCAGCATCTCGCGCCTCTCTTTGGGAACTCTATCATGTACCATATGTTGGCTCATATTATTTATTCTTAATAAATCACTTTATTACTAAGAAATTTTACAATTACCCTATACTAATGTCGTAAATAAGCATGAATTCTGTGTGGTGCATAGGTCTCAAAGTGAACTACATCACTTCCATCAAAAGAGCCAACTGTATTTCTTTATAAATGTTACGGCAAGAGCTTCAGCCACCAAGTTGTAAATTTTTGCCATTTGGTTTTATGGGTTTTAGTATGGGATCTTTGATAATGAATTTTATTTTATTCTTGGATTTATTTCCTCTACGGGTGATGTCTTATCACCTTCCTATTGTATTCTTTTTCCTTTTCTAATGAATTTTATTTTATTCTTCAAAAAAAAAAAAGAGCTTCAACCACCAAGATGAAAAGGAAAGAGTGGCATCCTACCCAAGGCCCCCCAAGCTACTAAAGAAATCTTCAGAAAATCCATAATATCCATAACACCAATAAGTGAACAGATAAAACACATCCCACCATCCACCGCCTTCCATCTTGACCCATACCCTAAATCCCTAAGTTGCCCAGACACAGATATGGACACAGACATGGGTATGGGAAACAGGGATACAGCTCTCCATTTCTTAACATCATAGACATAAATACAGGACTTTACAGATGGATATAGGGAACAGGGATATGGCTCTCCATTTCACCACCTTCAGAAGCTTAGAATCAAGGACTTAGAGATCCCTTAACTCCCCAGCTCCTGCCTGGATTTATTGGGAGATGAGATAGAATCAGAAACTGAATCTCATCCACTCCCTTCTTGAAACTAAGAATGATCCTTATCAAATTAGCCTTGAAAAATCCCTCAACCTTCTTTGAAGAAACTCATGTTGAAACAATCCATCCCAAAGCTTGTTTGTCATCCATGCCCCTAGAGTCTGTGTATCCATGCCAGACACGCACTGGACTCAGACACTCCGTAGATCCCAGAGCTTCTTTTGACATTTTTTTTTCTTTTCCTCCTACCTTACTCGAAACAAATGAACAGATATGGTACACAATGAACGCCACTTATTCCTATAAAATGTTATTACGTAACAAAAATCATCTTTCCAGCCATGAAGTTGAACTTGAATCTTCTAATTTGTTACATGGGAAACAAAGATAATGATTGAATAAGATTGCATGAGAATAGGTGCTTTGGGAAACCATATGGATAATGCCTAAAAATTTATAAAAAAAAAAATCAACATTAGAATAAATTTTAAAAAGAAATCAGAAGGGAAAATAAACTAGAAGAATCTAGAATGAGATATCATAGAAAAGTTAAAATTCAATAAAACCATTTCCCAGTTTCATAATGGAAGAGAAATTTGGGTTAACTTCCATTTGTTCATTAGATAGGTTATCATATCCTAGTTTACTAAATATAAGGGAAATTGTTAGAGAAATATACTTACTCCACAAGTCCGTCATACAATTCACACTGTCCAATAAGGCCAGGTCCTCCAATTCTTGGGTGCTGAGATTTGTCAACAGAGTGCAGTTAGTGGTTTGAACTTTGAAGAAGCCATTATACCAACTGTAAGAGAACATAATAGCATTCACATGCATAACTTACTTCACTAGACATTAACTTCTGACTGTATAAAAATAGACATAATATAGTCACTAATCTTAATTGAACAATCAAACCTGCCATGACAAAATAGACTTCATGGCAACTAAAATTTGTACTTTGAAGAATTTTTATTGCATGTTATCTACTTATTGATAGTCACCATCTATCAAAACAAATGCATGGAAGCAAACAACCTCAGCCCTACAGTTTTTTTAGCCCAAAAATTTACTCCCGGTGGAGGGGTGACCACCAAAAATTTTATTAAGATTATGGAAAAAATCTATACAACTTAGGGTTCAGCTCATAAATATACAAAAGAGTCTGACACCTAACCAGAAATCAAGAAGTCCTAAGGTAGGGAAGACCAATCTTGTCCGCATAATGATATTAACAATCACCAAGAGTAAAACACTGTGAGAATCAATAACAGTAGAGGTGCAAGTGTCACAAGCTATGTTTGCTAGAGCATCAGCTAAACGATTTCCTTCCCTAAAGGTATGATGAAAAGTAATGTCTAGGGAAAAGCAAGTCTCCTTCATCTCAAGCTTCCAGTACCATAGTAAATGAGGTAAGGAGGAAGCATTCTGAAAAAACTGCACAAGAACCATAGAATCAACAAAAACTTGCACTTTTTGAAGAACCAGCGATTTCGCCAATAAAAGTCCTTCTTCAGTGCAAAGGCTTCGGCCATTAAATTATTTACCACACCATAGAAAGAGTAAAAGCCGGCAATAAAATTTTCACATTTATATCTAATGGCAACCCCCCCCCCACCACCACCACCATTTCCAGGGTTACCACAGGAAGCATCTGTATTAAGTTTAAAATAACCCTCTGAGGGAGGCTTTCAACAAAAACTAACCGAACCCTACTACATTTTGGCCCCTGAATTGGGTTTCCTTAACAGTTAAGCGCCAGGTCTTGGGAAGTAGAGTGAGGAATTTCCAGAAGCCACTTCTTAACCTGGAAAATAACAAATTCAGAACAAGAGACTTTCTCGTCCCATCTCCTTCTATTTTGTTCTTTCCACACTTCCCAACAGATGATAAGGGGACAAATAGTCACCTTTGAAATCTTGAATTAATGGAATCTGAATCAAAAATGTCAACTCCCAAGATAGTACTAAAGTAATTCCAGACTTTACAGGCTAGCACACCATGAATAAAGAGATGGTCCAGAGTTTCAGTAGAAGGGACTTTGCAACAAGCACATTTGGATGGCAAAGGAATCCTAAGCCACTGAATTTCAGAATCGACTACAACCCTTCGTTTGTAAAGTTTCAAACAGAAAAAAGAGATTTTAGTTAGAACTCTTTTATTCCAAATCCACTGATAGATATCCATAGGAGGGCTCCTTTATACAATTTCCCAAGCCGAATGAGTGGTGAATAAAAGAAAAATTTATTCACAAAGAGGGGGGAATACAAGAAGGTGATAAGGAATCACCCACAAACAAGACAATGGCAACAAGCCAGAAATATCCAACAAAACCTGAAACTAAAACAAAACCAAAAAAATTCAGACAGAAACCAACCCCCCCCCCGCTCACCTTCCCAGGGACCAAAAACTAACACATCCCAAACCAGAGACACCTTCACAAGGAACAAGACTCAGCCCAAACCTTCTGCAATTGAATTAAACAACCTCTTTGTTCTTCTTGACAGATCTTCTATCCTTCTTAACCCTCTTGTTGATTCCAACCCCCAATAAACCCCCTTTCAATCTATTGAACACCTTCAAAACTGGCATGGATCTACTAACTTTAGGTGTCTAAATCTTTTAACCATGTTGAGAGGACACTCACAATTCTTCCTTTCTCCATGAAAATCACTAATCCTTCAAGCTCTAAGGTCACATTCTTCTCAAATACTTGCTCGGCTACCAAATCGTCTCCCTCTTTTTGCATAGGCCTTACTTCACTCTAGAGTCTGTCATTCTTCTCCACCTCTAACCCTAGATAATCTTTCAATAGAGCTCGAAAAGTCCTTCTCACTATTCTTCAAGACCCCCCCCCAAAGCTTTTACATACTCCAGCCTCTTTGTTAATAACTTTGTCTAGGTCAGCTTTCCTTTGAACTTCATGGGTCTCATCCAACATGATTTCTTCTTCCTCCTCTTCATTCTCCATCCAACATGTCCTTTTCCTTTGGTAGACATTTGCTTTGTTAAATTTATTCCCTTCCCCTTCTTTTCCAAATCCATCCTCTTCTTTCTCCTTCCCCAAGCAATCATCATTATCACTTACTACCTTCCTTGAGCTCCTTTTTTGAAATCACTTCTCAACTGTTGCAAATCTTCGCTTACGTGCAAAGCTTGTGCCTCGCTAGCAATATTTTAAAACGCAGAGGTGTGAGGCATAAACTTCCCGAACCATAGTTTTCAAGGCGTCTAGGCGATTCTAGGAGACATTGGGGTGCCTAGGTGTCACCTAGGCGAAAAAAAATTTATAATATAAAAAACTGACTTTTGGCTAGTTTCCTAGTTTTTTATATACCATTCAGTATGTTCTTTTTATTAAGAACATTAAATTTCCTCTAAAAATGTGGCAAATTATCACATAAAGATAAAAATATTTTACATATATTAATTTCATTATTTTCAAAAATATTACTACTATAATAAGTATTTAATAGAGTAAATTCATATTAATTAGCAGCTAAAGAAGGTTATTAAATTTATATGATAAATATTCAAGATAGAAAGTAAAATAGAAAAAAAACAAGGATGGAGTTTCTGTTTTATTTAATTAGAGAGAGAATAGAAAAAAAGAACTTTATTATTCTATTCTTTCTTTCCTTTTTCTTTTCTTTTCTTTCTTTCTTTCTTTTTCTCTCCTCAAAACCCTTCAATCTTTTAAATAATTTCAATAGTAAAACATTAAAACAAAGTATAATTGATATATATAGCATATAATAAAACGTATTAACACAAACATTAATAAGATACAACAATATAAATGATATTATAAAAGGCGCCTGCCTTGTCATTTTTGTTGCCTAGGCAGGCACCTAGTTGCTGAAAGTTAAGGAGTTTGGGCAAGGCACCCAGCCAAGGGCGCCTAGCCGCCTAGGTGACGCCTTGACAACTATGTCATAAGGAGGAGGGGGAGGAGAACGAAGAGAAAGGAGGATCTCATTTTTCTTTATTTTTTATAAAAAAAAAATTATATTAAGAAGAATGAAGATGCAAAACACTAACTAAAAGGGGTTGGATGCTCGCTCTCTAGAGCAGAGCAAGACCGCCCCTCCCAAAACAAAAACAAAAAAAAAAACAACAACAACAACAACAACAAAAACAAATTGGACTGCATTCATAAGGGGCTGGAGAGGTTTGGGGGGCTTCGCCCCCCAACCAAGAGGGTCTGGGGGCTCCACCCTATCTCACTTCTTCCCCCTTATATTTCCTTCCCTTCTCTTTTCCTTTCTTTCATTTCTTTCTTTTATCTTTTTCTCTTTTGGTTCTTTCTTTCTTTCTTTTCTTTCCTTTCCCTTTTGTAGTTTCTTGTGATGATTGAGAGAGAGAGAGAGAGAGATAGGTACGGATGATAGAAAGGAAAGGCCAAAAAACTCAATACTGGCAGCCGCCAGTTTTCTATTTATATTAATCTTTATAAAAAGGCAAAATTACAAGTATACCCCTGGCGGCATATCCTAGAATAAGAACAATAGGAAAAGAAAAAAAGAAAGGACT